TGTGACCACATTCCCTAAAATGATGTTTTAGTTCTGTTCATTTCTATAAAACTATAAAGAATGGTCGCTCTGTATATTCCACAGAGTTTTGGAAAATGCCTTGGTTAATGTTCCTTTACAGAAGACGATCCGGTGTCCTGTGTGACAGTTAGTGAGCGGATAATTTCAAATCGCAATCTTTTCCTACTCTTTTAACACTTTCAAAACACGCACAACATATGCTCAAAGATGTGCATCTATCACAAAAAATGAACATTAGAATACTAGTATCCCCAACATACCTCATATCTTTGTGAATCTTTGATTTATCTGATAAGCAGTACAGTGCCTAGAGCTTGGTACACTTAATTTATATTTATTGCCAAATACAGACCCCTGGTATAGGATTTTCAGACATTTCCACAAACATAAGATTCGTTGATAAGAACTGTCTTTACAAAAGACAAAGAATCAGATTGCTAAGATTTGTGTCCTCTTTTAAAAGCCACAGCAAACGACGTCATAGCTTGCTGTTCGGTGTGAGCCAAGGCTCCGTGTTGAAGACCGTACTTTGACCTATAATGGTTTACTTTTACAAATTGTGACTTGGATGGAGAGTTGTCTCATTGGCACTCATACCACATCTTCTTATATCTATTTCAACCATTCCATGTTGCCCCATCAATTATGTAAATCAACTTTATAGTTTAATCTGTTTCCATTTTGAGGCTTTTGAAAACCAGAAAAGTGTTGAAATAAAAGCTTACGGTGAAAATTTACAGCACCAACGAATTTTGGCTATTAATTTCTCTTTGGTGATGCTCGATACCAAACTATTTGATTATCAAAAACTTACTAGAAAATAAATACATTATAAACCAAACAGACAAAAAGTAAGCTCAAAACATGCTAAGCAATCAAAGCTGTTCATGAGGGAGATATAGTTCTTAATGATTTAAAATCGTTTCCAAAATTTTGTAACAGCAAATTTGAACACAATATCCAAATTTTTATGTCAGTTTCAAAGTACTGGCTATTGGCATGGTGATACCCTTGGGGACTAACAGTCCAAAACAAACGTATCAACCAAGTGGTAGCAATAACATTAACGGAACAAATTTAACTGTACCAGATGCGTATTTTGGCAATAAAAGTCTTTTTATAGATGATCGTGGCCAAAATATTTGCAAACACAACTTATTAAAAAATGAAGAAACTATAAACCAAAATTATAGCCAACGCCTTTTAAGAAATCAACGCTTTGCATAAGAAGTTATATCCCTTAATTGAAATTTTTTTTTTTTTTTAAATTTGTTATAGCAAAAATGGATAGCAGTGTATCCGTATGTTTATGCCAAGTCCAAAGTACAGACTACTGGGATATGATTCTGTATAAGGAATTATTGGCATGCTAGAAAGGCATCTTCTACATTGCAAGTATGAAGTGCACAGTCAGGAGATTACTCGACTCAGTATCTAACAAAATTTTAAACAAGAGAACAAAAATATTTGTTTAGTTGAATACTTTTTTTTTTCTTAATCATTTTTTTCTAATCATACCAAAACAAGTATTCAGTAGTGACTCGTCAAATCTGACGACTCTACCATTTAACATACTTGTCACTTTTCGAGGAAAATTTCAATTCAGATATATTTTGTTGGTAAAAAAATGTTGTTTTTTAAGATTTGAATTTGACGGGCTTTTATTCAAGGTAGATACATGCGTATTGAGGCTTTCCTGTTTGATATTGTGAAACTGGCGTTCACTGTAAATATTTTGTCATGTAAGTGTATGTTTAGAAGGAGTAAATCCAGGTTAACATGGTTAGCAAAATACAAGAACATGTCATTCTTAAAACTATGCATATGTTATGTCATTTGTTATTTTTGCATTGATGAATGTCTGATTTTATTTTCGTTTTATTGGTTTGTTTATCTTTTTATTGACCTTAATATACACAAAGCTTCCGCTTATATAACAACGTGCTTCTTCTAGTCATCTTTCACGCTGACAAATTTTGTGTTTAATAATTACAAAGATTGTTTGGTACGTATGACAATGCCTACATAACGCTTTGAACAACAGAAGTTGCTTACACAAAATATAGATTGATGAACATCCATACGAGGTAGCTGACTTCATGCAAAAACACTTAGTAAACTATAAAAGAGCAAAAATCTATCACTGAAGGGATACTTTCAAAGCATTATCTTCATACATCTTACTCTAAAATACAAATATACACTCGGACATTATCGATAGCAGACTAACACATCTGTTTTCTAGAACACCTCATCAATTTTAGATTTCAATTCTCAAATATGATAAAGCATTTCTAAGTATATTGTCAAGGAAACAAATATTTTATTGATTGGTTTGAATATTGATATATGAAAAGGAAAATGTACGCTTTATTGATTGGTTTGAATATTGATATATGAAAAGGAAAATGTACGCTTTCTGTTTATAATAGTGAAAGCTCGGTAGATGTGCATTGCCAAAATTAAAAAGCATAAAAACATCCGAAGCTTATTGCATGCAACATGTTGTGCAAGATATAAACTAAGTCATTATCTTTGCATCAAAATTGTTCCATTAAACACGTCTTAAAATAGAAACGAAATAATTGTGTGACCGTTAAATGATTAAAGTTACACAAATTCCACAATACACACTATAAAAATTTCTTACACTGTTGATCAAGCAAACAAAGGTAACTATGTTTTATAACAATGGACTGGTCCACTTGAATAAAAAAGGGAAGTACAAAATTAAGAACATTTATATCAGACGTTTTTAGTAAAATTAAAGGTTAACTGTGGAAGTATCACATCTTTTATTATATCATTGTTGACTTGAACTACAAGTCTTAATCTAAATATCTATACGCATATCTTGATTAACTTGTTCATTGGGGTGATAATCTAACTTTTAACCTTACCTGAAACATTAAAGGTTTGCTAAATCATTACATCTATGTGGAGATTTAAACCAATACCAATACTAAAAAAGGAGTGACTTTTGTACATTTTCCTACAAAATGTTTAGTTAATATAAATTTATATTGAGACGATAATACAATACTTTAATCTTTTTATCTTATTACAATTATAAATATATAAGGGAAATATATATATAAAAAAAGATGTTTTGTTAAATGATGGAAAAAAAAACACTTTAGCAAAATTAATGCAAAAAATCATTAAGATAAGAAAGGTTGTGTTCTGTTTTTTTTTCTCGCATGGACAGTTTAAGAAAAACATGCACTGTAAATCATGCCAATGACGAGGCCAGAATTAATATGTTTTACATAAGATACTTTTATATTTAAACATGTTTCTCAGTCAAATTAAATTCGATTTCAGCTTTGAGGTGTGACTTAAAAAGAACTTCGATCACACGAAATTTATTAGAGTTATGTTCATAAAGTATTACTTTTATTTTGTACTATAAATATCTGCAAGTTAAATTGAAAAATAGTGTTAAAACATTCTGCGATCGGTTTTTCATAATGGCTTTGCAAATGATCTAAATAATTTTGATAGGACCATATGTTGTTCTAGGGTATCCTATGCATAGCTCTAACTTTAACAAAAAGTAAAACATTTGGATGTCTCTTACATAAACTGATAGCTGAGGGACTTAGTATCACTGAAATGCATGGAAATAGGAGGACATATGTGCCCTGTTATTCAAAACAGAGGTACCTTCTGTACTGCTAATCTTCCGGGGAAAAGTGGGCTATTATACTAGCACAAGTCAGGATAAGGTATAGTTTCGAAGTGAAATGACTGTTTCTTTATTTGAACGTAAGGCAAAATAGCTATGAATGCATGCAATTAGATAAGAAAGCCAGCATGGGTCAGTGAATTGGCGTTTTTTTTTTCATAACAGAAGGTAAATTAACACCTTAAGGTATATTGACTGTCTGTTTAAACAAATATATAGTAAATGACAGAATATATATAACTTGTTGGTTACATTTTTAGAAACAATTATATTACTATTAGGTAAACACTTTTCATAAAGAATTTTGCTAAAAAAAATGTAATCGTTTAGATTTAGCCCGTTCGGTTTTTCTGAATATTGGAAATAGACAGACGCACTTTGGAGGTTAGGACATCTACTCTAATTCTAATTATTTTCCACTTCAATGACCCTCAGATATGTTTATAAAAGTCTGACATCATGCACGAAATGTTTAAGACTTTAAGCACAAAATGGCTGGAATTAGAAATAGTTTGGCTAGATTGACGTAGAATACAAAATAATTTTTGGTCAGTTGATATCGAACACACTTCCTAGTTAAAAATCTTTATGTCTGTGCTGTAAAAATATTTCTGTATGTAAAATAGTCAAATGAATAATGATGTTGATGAATTCAACATGGTAATTTCAACATGGTAATTTTAAACCAAAACTGCATTGTATTTTGAACGAAGAACACGTAGAATTACACGTTTAAAACTGTTAGCGCTTTCAGCCGTTGGTACATCCGCTCTTTAAAAAGTAAATGAATGTTACTATGTGGTAAAGTAGTGACAATTCCCTTAATAGTTTGAGCTAGTTATCGTGTGTTTTCAAAAATCAAGTTTTTGTTTGATGTCCCTTGAAAATGCATGTCAACTTAAAAGATGATTCTTTTAAGGCACAGCTCAACTCGATAATATATTTAATAAATTTTTACGGACTTTAAGCTATACTTTTTCAATTTTATAATAAATCTTTGTCACATCTGTATTTCCTTATTCAAATAAATTAATAAACCAACTTGTGCTGAGAAAGCAGAGCAATTCCGAATTTACCGTCAAACAAACTAAAATATTACAAAACATATGAGTTGATATTGGTTTTTTTTCAATTCAAATTAAAGAAAAAGTTTCTTTAAATTTATACTTCATGTGTTTATCAATACACGTATCTGTTTCTTTCAGAGAAATGACTGATGTCGACTTTCTCCTTTTGTTCGAATGTATTTTGAATTTTGCTGCAGAAATTGTACGAGTCCTAGCAACTGAAAAGATACTAAAACTACATCAAACTAATTCATTTAAGGATTTTTTAAAAATAGCAAAGCACCATTTGTATCATCAATGGGATAAGAAAGATCATGTTTGTTGTAATTGCCCAAATACAGGTCGCTTAATTCGGAAAACAGGAAATCTGAATACAAACATATTCGAAAAATTGTTTGCCTATGTAAAAAAAAACACTTGTTCCAATGGACGCCGAAGGAGGAATGTCACGGCATTTCTAGAGATATGTATATGCAAATACGAAGAAAAAAACATTTCCATAAATGACTTAGATTTATGTGACATAAAAAGCTTATGTCTTAATTCACCATTGCCGTCATTATTAACAACATCAGAGGAAAATCAACTAGATATTTTAATAAACATTCGGAATAAAGTATGCCACGCGCTTAAAACCAATATTTTTACGGAACCTGAACTTGATTTAATGTGGACTGAAGTATCCGATGCATTATGTAATTTGTCAAATATTGATAAAAAATATATGAAGATGATCATCGAAGATAAAAGACAACAATCTTTAAAAGCTACAACCATTCAAGAACTCCGTTCGAAAATTGACATGATTGAAAAGGTAAGACTTATGGCGTTATATAAGGAGTGTGGGAGTTAACCGCAATAGAGATTAGCATTTATGTTGTTTAAATTTAGTTATGAGAATGATACACCTACTTCTGAGCAAATTGGACAAGTTTGACTCTATCAAGCATTAAATCAACTTGATTGAATAATATGTTTTTATGATTCCAAAATAAAACTGAAAATGAACTTTCATACAGAAAATGTTTTTTATAAAAGAACTTTATACCCAGGAGTTTTTTAATGACTCTTAACATCATTTTGATAAAATCTTTAAGGTATTTCATGTTCTGTAAAAAAAAAGTTATAGTATATGCACTGAATTCGTTTAGGCTATGTTTCTGATAAATAAGTATTGTTGTGATAAGAAGTACATTTTTTTCTATTGCAGTAAATGTTAGTATAGGTTGCGTTTTTTAAATACAGCTGATTCACAAACCACTCCCTGTTTTGGGAATATTTAATATTCAAAGATATTTTGTTTCGTTTACCTTCTGGTTTGCAGATATTATCTCAATGTTTTATATCATAAAGGCGCAACTTGGGAATTTTATCAGTATAAATGCTGTTGTGTAGCGGACACATTGAAATATAAGGTGGACTCAAAGTGAAGGGAGGGGTAGTACCGAATTTTAGTTACCGTTTAAACGTAGTTTCTCTGGGAAATTGCATTGTTTATATCTACAAAAAAGGCGATCTATAAGAACAACTACATATTCATCAACGTATGGAAACCTCCGTAGACAATCAAAAACGTTTTTTCATGTTGATTCAAGCGTTTCTTTTTTTTTTCTTTTTATTAACTTATAAAGCTATGGTATGAATAATATGTTCTTTATGATTAGACATTTTCGAATATAGATAAATAGATTAAAATAAGGCTGTTTTTAAATAGAAAATATGAGTATAACTCTGATGTTACCGAAATATTTCATAAGTGTATAAACTCTTCAATTATTTTATTAGGTTTTGGATTTTCAAATGTTTTGGCCTCGAGAATCACTGAATATACATTTATTTTTGTTTTAAATGCGCATCTGGTGAAGTGGAATTGGTATTATTTATTTTGTTATTGGTTGGAGTGAATATATAATCACCATTTCTATTCATTATTGTCGTTATATTCTTTTATATCAAAACATTACCTCTGACTTACATGTGTCATTTCTATCCAAAGTCGTCTATTTTGATCCGTCGTTTTTGCCTTGAAAGACGTTCTTCACAACACACAAGTTATATTAAAGAAGTTGGACATGCTTTTATTTGCACCCAAAGTATTGATGTTAGACCTATATCGAAGTAGACAATGCAGAAACATTTAACTGCTCAAGTCCAATATAATATACCTACTCTATATGGTCATATCGGCGAGTATTATTCAAGACATGGAGAGGTTGAAAACCCGTTTCAATCAAACCAGCTGAATATTTCTGGATTTTTTCACATACAACTTGTTTGTATCGAATCTTCATTGGACACTATACCTGCAGCACTTAGGTATATATAACCGCACAATAAAGGCGATCGTCGCGGAAATAGAGTAAACTGTTTTGAATGTTGAAAAAAATACTGCATGATAAAGATTAAAATTACTGCCAACACTATTTTTCTTGTTTTCTCATATTATTTATATAAAACTGTCATAGTTAATTACAGAATGATGATAATAACACTATCTTTAGACTAGTTTTGAACCTGATTATGATGTAACTAATAATGCCTGTAAATAGTGTTGGTTTAAAATATGCATGGTTTATTACACTGAAAACTTATTGCAAAGGTATTATACCACAGTTCATTTCGCAAAAGAAAGAGGGTTCTGATACAAATGTTCTTTTCAAGTGACTTTTGATCAATAAACTTTTCATGCATTTATGTACTTATCCATCCTTGTCATTCAAATACTTGTGTTTGTGTGTTCCTGATTGATGTAAATCCAAAAGAGCCCCACACCCTTTCCATAAAGTGCGGCTTTCATCATTCATTGTCGTTATAAAAAAATAAGAAGATGTGGTATGATTGCAAATGAGACAATTCTCCACAAGAGACCAAATGACACAGAAACTAACAAGTATAGGTCAAAAGATTATATTGCGGTACAAATCAAGCTTTACCAACATTCTGTCCTTTATATATACTCAATAACTTTGATTCGGTGGATTTAACTGTTGGTTATTCCTTTTTAATTCTGTTTCCCTTGCTACTATATTAAATGTGTTAAGGAGTAAAATTTGTTAACATGTCACCATATAAGTTATAATGTTTAAAACACATTCATTCATTGTAGTTATTTAATTATTTCGTAAAATTTAAAAGGAATCAAGAACTACCGTAGATTTCAAAACCCATTGTCTTATAGTTTAACAATTTAAATTTCTTTCATTTGGTAGGATGCACAAAACTGTACGGACTACATGAGAACCCAAATTGAACAGAACAAGACACTTGATGATATAAGAAAAGCACAAGCGCGCCAGGAAGGTGAAGATAAAAAATTTCGTGGTATTTCAAATCCTTGCAGATAAATTACGAAATTATGACTGATTTACTCTCAATATTTCGTTTGCATTACGTTTGATATTATGTATCTTGATAGAAAAGCCCATGTGTGTTTTAGGTTTGCGTTATCAAGGATTTAGAAGATAAGAAAATATTCAAAGGCATTAGTTTTACTTGTTTTCTACTAAACGACCAATGTTAAATATATACCATATATTTCCGAGAAGATTATTATTGTGTAAATCTGACGTAAATATCATGCATAAGATATGTTCACCATAGAGTAATCTCAATTTCGGAAGTTTTAATTTAATTTTTTATTTTCTTCAAAACTTGTTGGGTTCCTTGTGTAACAGATCGTATTATGTCATAATCTAATACAGCAAGATACATTGATTACATTAAGTAAAAAATGTTTTCAATTATGACTGTCACTTGCTCTTGATATTACTATTTTGATTCCTTACTTATATCATCCTAGTTTATTTATTTATTTATTTATTTATTTATTTATTTATTTATTTATTTATTTATTTATTCATTTATTTATTTATTTATTCATCCATTCATTTATTTACCTATTTATTTATATATTTTTTATTTATTTATTCATTTTCATTTATTTATTTATTTATATATCTATTTATTTATTTATTTATTTATTTTTTTTTTTTTTTTTTTTTTTTTTTATTTATGAGTTTATTTATTTATTCATGTATTTATTTATTCATTCATGCATTCATTTAAGTCATCATTGATTATACTGATTAATGCGAACTCTTATTGATACACAAACAAATACAAAGATACAAACAAAATATTCATTAAAAGTTTTGTGTACTTATAAAATTTAGCTTAATGCGTCTATTTCTTTTTTTTAATCTAGCTAAAATTTCTATTTGACTTCAAATCCATGTTTTTTTTTACTACAGATCAATCTTTCAAAAACCATGGAGAGCTTATACAGGAAATTGGGAATTTAAAGGCTTTTTTTTCAGCATCATCATTAACCGGTACCAGTTCCGCAACACAAGGCTCACTCTCAGAAAATGGTATTTAATTCTCATTCTGTAACTTTAGTTCAGTAGTACAAGAAAAAAAAATTGTCAATACGTTCATATATAGATATCATCTTTTACAAGTAGCAAGACTTTAGTGAATCAATTCAACCTAATTTTAGATTTTTTTTTATTAGAATGAAATAAACATATCATATCAATAATGTATGGAGTTGAATCTTTAAATAATTCAACCTGCGATTTTAGCTTTTTTTTTGTCAAAATAATGATATTCATTAAGCTTACAACAACATAAATGCTAGAATTTCTTTACAGCAGATAGTGACAAAGAGGTCGATTTAAAAGTAAAACTAAAGAACATAGATGAAGATAAGATGCGAAATGGTCTTGAAAAGGAAACCTCATCTGACATAAATGATGGATGGACATTCGTCACCGTTAAACATGGCTGTATTTTACTACAAATGAAAACAGTGCCAGATACTTTTTCAAGTGAAATAATACTTAAATCAAGAATGCAAGCACTGGTTAAGAGAATTCTAGCGGCAGGAGAAGTGAAGACTTCTGAACAAGCAGAAATATATATGGAATTAAAGATAAAAAGTTCTGTAACAACAGGTAAACCATAAAATTTACCATATTGTAGCTTTTTGCGTTTAAACTTCCGTTACTATTAAACTATTTACAATACCCATTTTTTGCACATAAATTTGTTATCAAACCACGTGGAAGTGATCGGAATCATTACATAAGTGATGTTGATGTATCGTGATAAAATACAGATGTCAACGCATACGAAATATATTCTATCGAAAAAACATTTATCAGTCAAACTCGAGACTTTGGTTGGGCTAATAAATAAATCTTAAAGAGAGCAAAGTTAACATAAAACGTACAAAACGTATTCGTAATCTTAGTTTGTATGGAATTATCTTTTCAAAGTTTTTTTGAGAATGTAGAAATATTATCAAAATGTTTTATGTGAATTAGCCATATTCACAACGAAAGACTGACAAATTGGTATCATTGGAATCTGGTAGTTCACCAGCAGCTCAGTCGATCAAGTTTTATTGAGAGAAAAACTATCATGCGATTGATTTTTTTGGCAGTTACGAAAGACATCACACCTTTCGAATTTGTAATATTAAATCGTAAAAGTATGAACAGAACTGAAAGACAGTTTGATATCAGCACTTCAATAGGGATGAGACACTATGAAGAACAATATTTAATACACATGTATTTGTGGAATGATTATTACAAATACAAGCTTTACACAAATGTTTTCAATCATTTGTATGTCAAAAATGCGTTATAATAGAACTTTATCATGTATGTTATCTCTGTTATTCACATAATTACATAAATAACAGGAAATTGAATTTCTGAACACATCAGTGTTTCGGAAGGAAATTATTCATAACGCTGTATATTAATTGATGTTGGTTTTTTTTCCTGTCTAATCATAGAGGAGGAAAAGAATATAAGAAATGTTTTCGCAGAGTCGTCTGGACTTCATTGTGACTTTGAAAAGAAATTATCCGATGATCACATTACTAAAGGGAAAACCGAAGCCTTTCCAGGTATGCATATTTGGTTAGAAGGGTACCTGTTTGTATATAATGAATACTTCAACGTCACCGAAAATTTGAGTTCATACTTGACTTTTTATAACATTTCTAAAAACCTTAGAACAACTAAGTTCTATCAAGACGCAAATACATGAAGTAACATATATTTGGTACCCGTAAAGTAACCTTAGAATGTGTATTTATAATGTTTTGTTAAATATGATCTTTTTTTACTTATCAACTAAGAAAACTTGCAACAAAAGCGTCGTTCAAAGATTTTCCCCACATAATAAAATTCCTGTGTAAATATATTCAGTGTAGGGTTATGGTGTTTGTAGTTTCTCTAAAAATAGGTTTATGAAAATGCATCAAAAGCACTTTTCTGTTTTTATCGTTATCAGGGGCGCTCAAACTCAAGAATTGGACAACCAGGAATGCATTAATACGTAGAAACCTTATTAGCTACATGACTTAAATGGACTTCGAAAGAATAACAAATTAATAAGAATGAGTTTTAGTTTGCAATTCATCTGATTTTACCATATGTTATAAATGATTAATGCATCAAATTAAACATCTTTAAACTACCATCAAAGCTCATATGTATTCCAGTTTTGTTTCATTTTCTTTTTTTATTTTCTAGCAATTTTGCTTGCTGTATTGATTAATGATATTCGCTATTGCTATTTTCATATTTTTTATATGTTAGTGTGGCTTCACATACCATGACGTGGCTGTTAGACGTTTAGACATTTTTAGGTCAATCCCATAAGTCGTGAAAAATTATGTGTGAGCTTAGTCTTCAATTTGATAACTTTGATTTTGTTTTCACAATGCACCTTTTCACTCAAGGTCTATTTTGATTAACAATGCTTCTTTGTCACAAATCCAAAGCGGAGAGAAAAATGAAAAAGAGCGATTATTATTTTCTTTGTGTTTGCTAGTTCACCATGGAGTGACAGTTAAATGCTGTCTTAATTCTTTGAAATCAGCATAATGAAGACATTTATTTCTTGAAAATTTAAAGTAAAAAAATGCTATATCGAAAATTGTTGGCATGATATCAATAAAGCACTCTATTAGGTGATGTGATTCGGTATTCATTAGAATTGCCCGTAATCCTTGATCAAATCAAGATAATCTCATTTCAAATGTAAGTGGTCCAAAAAAGTCCAATTTTCTGCACCAGATGCGCATTTCGACAATCAATGTCTCTTCAGTAATGCTCGAGGCCAAAATATTTGAAAAGCTTAATAAAAATCCAAAGCTTATAAACATTATTTAAATAAGTATTGGCCTTATGCATGTTATGTTATTTTGACAATCAAGCCAGAGATTCCAACCGTATATACTACTTCCTCTTTACTATTGATACTTGAAAATTATTCAAATTATTGAATTTCTAATTTTGTGCATGATATTTTCTTGAGAAGATTACAGATGTATTACTGTAAATTCAGAAATTATTGCGAGGTTTTTATTAATGCGAATAACGCGTCTACTTGAGTATCGCAATGATAAGAACTCACATTCTGATATCAAATACATATATCTGTATGTAGCTTTTCCAAAATTCGCAAATTTAAAGTTAAATTAAAAAAAAAACGCAATAGTTTTAAGCAATAAAACTGATATAGAGCAGACATGATTAACGACGGACATTTTTAAAAGTTTAAATTGTGATGTGGAACATAAAACTCCTTTTTTAAATTAACCTTCATGGAAGGGATTAAAAAATACCGTTTCCGACAAATATTGAACATTTAATTTATCATGTAATGTAAACTTTTTGCATTCTAAGAATTACTCTAAATGTAGTCCAGGTCATATATACTTTTCATGCGTAATATCTAGAAAACCACTTCTGGAGCATTATCTGATTACTCCTCCAGGGCCTGGATACAACCAAGGAATAGCTTGGATCGTGTTGACTCGTCGTTAGTTTCCTTTTTAGTGTCGCGTGAAGTGTTGTTTGTATTTTAGTTGTTTTTTTGTTGTTTTTTTTTTTTGTCATGGTATTGTCAGTTTTTCGTCGACAAATGATTCTTGGTCCCTTTGATACCTTCTGACTCGGTTTTATTTTCTTAATATATGAATGTACTCTGAAGATGTCTAAAATAAATAATCTATTATTTTTTTGGTATGCTTCATTTTCATTGATAATATTCTATATATGCAGTTAGCAAATCAGACAAAAAAACATCCAATAAATAGATATGCATGTATAAAGATGTTTGAGGATTGAGATCAAGAAAGTTGGACTTTGTACAAGAAAATATTGACAAGTTTGAGAGAAGCTTGTTTTTTGCCTTTTAATTTACTAACTATGTGCCCCAACAAGAGTTGGTCAAAGGATATTTCAACTCGAAATAGCGAGAGATTTTCCTTACATGGGAGCATTAGTTTGCCGTCTGCACGTCGACCGACCGGACGGAGTCTGTACATGCGAATATTAACATCTTAAAAAGGCTAATAGACTTTTGGTGAGTCCTACATTAGCACAGAGAAATTTGGACCTATTTCTAATACTCCAGGATATTTTCATATGTGTTTCTACTACTTCTTAACATCTTCGCTATAATCCTTTTGCAAAGGAGTTTTTGATACGCCATTTTACACTTAATCAAACAAGTTGTGAATATCGGTTTTTAAAACAACCTCTACAATAACATGTACTGGACTTTTTTTTGTAAGATATTAAAGCACAAATGGATTAACAAAATGTCACACGTGCAAGTTCTGATAATATATTACCTCCAATTATATCACCTAACTCAATGACACATCTTGAAATATAACAGTCTCTTAACTTTAGGTTTATTCTGACCTGCAAAAAGCCCCACTCACTTCTTAGAAATTTTACTGACTAGTTCAGAACTCAAACATACCGTGATTTTTAAAACTATAACAAGGTAGATGATGCATCTTAAGTCACTTTCTTTGTCACAAGCAATTAATTACTCTCATTTTACACTTGACCAATTGCAATAAGGAGTTTTTGAGATATTTTTACTGTCAGCTTCATAACCGATCATAATGTAAAAATGTGGTTTCGGAGATGATTTTTTCTAAAAACAAATAACCAATAAGGCCTATATTTTATGATTCAGTTTTCGTTTCTAGTTTACATTAAGTTGTGTTTTTTTTCACCCAAATTGTCAATTGAAGAGAGATAGGGGGAAACTGAAATATGACTATTGTATAAAAATTATCGAAACAGGTATATCATTCCAAAAAAGTGTTTTACTAAATGTAGATATAGAAGATGCAAAACGAAAAATAGGAGGAACAAAAGAGATAGAAACTTTACAACTACTTCAGAAAGATGGTGAGGAAAACGTAGAGTGTCCAAAATGTCTTCACAATTTTGAATGTGAACACTGTATTTCAAAACATCAAACTGTTCAAAAAATGAGATCTGAATTAAAGAGCGATAATATACAGATTCAACAGATTATGGGTGAGTTAATTAGTAAACATATTTCCATTATATGTAAATAAGACAAATTTAACCAAGAGCAGTATCAGCGATCGTGGGAAAATGTTTTGACAAACATAACAAACGTCAAGGTTAATTTTAAAATGAGAAGGTCCAATAAACATGACAAAGTAAAACGTTCGGCTATATCTGCCAACGGAAAACATCTGTAATACATCTCACTTGATAAATGCATTTTTCACAGAAAAATGATGGGTGAAACCTGTGTGCATAGCTCGCTTAACCTTCCATTTGTATCACATTTGTTTTTTTAGTTTCTCGATATTGACATAATTTAAACACATACAGTTGGTTAACGTGTCTGTATTTGGGATGCAGCAGCCAACATTTTGTAAACATACAGCATGCATATTCAACATAAATGACTTCGAAAATCAAAACAAATGTACTATCCAATATAACAAAGACGCCAATTAAAAGGTTAATGAAGTAGATAGTACTGTAAAGTAAAATATTATGATAAAAAAGTATGCAATTTTCCCCCAAAAAGTACAACTTCAGTCATAGATTTAAAAAAGGTTATTTTCAAAAATAGCATTATACAAGCTTAAAGCAAGCGTATCGCACTATTTGACACACAAGAACGTTTAAAGCAAGAACCACGATAAATGATAAAAGGCATGTGTTTTTTCTCACTGTAACATTTGCATAAAAAAGATTTGTAAACAAATGTGTGTTAAATCATGTTCCTTTCTACTTATCATTTTATTACAGCCCATACTGTGGGTGTAAATTCATTAAGTTATTATAGTTTAAGTACTGATTTCCTATTCTTTCTATCATCTCAACGGTTTCTTGATGCAAAAATTGTTGCAAAATGGAGAGCAACGATGCACTGGATGACGGACGCTTAATAATGAGAATAAAACAGTACACCATAGTTCTTAAGCCATCAAAAATAGACAACCAGTTATCCAAATACGCATATGTTTAGTAGCTTTGATAGTTTCTGTCAGAACTACATAAAACTTTTATTGTTCTATTATTTGTTTCAGTTTTCATACTTAACTGATTGGCTTAGTTGTTATCCATTCGTTTGATGTGTTTGAACTTTCGATTTTGCCATTTGATTGGGGACTTTCCTTTTTGAATTTTCCTCGGAGTTCAGTATTTTTGTGGTTTTACTTTTTAGTATATATTTTTTCGTTAAATTTATTTATTTTTGTCTTGTAAGGTATGCTGCAAGGACTGAACAGCACCAAGTATGTATGTCCAGGTAAAACACTACTTTTTAATTTATTTTTTATATCAAAACTGTAATGTTATCATATTAGCATGTAAACTTGTAGTTTATGATGAAAAAATACAAACATCAGACACTACATATCTTGTCATTTTATTTTCTTACAAACCTGAGGTTATTCTTTGCTAAGAAAAATCAGTATGTCATTTTGTTTACTGAAGGTCTATGATTGCTGACGATATATTAATTTTCTCTTGCACTCACTGTTTAAATCAGATGTAAAAAAAATTCAAAAATCTCCTATTTAAAACGCCAAGACACAAGATGATGCGTTAACTGGGTCAATATCCCTAATGCGCCTCAAATTGAGGAACGCAAAAATTGTATGTAAACAAAAAATCTCTGTGAAGTGATATTTGTCAACCGAGCTTAACTATTTGTGTTGATTTTTAAAAGTAGAGAACCATAGAATAAATGTGTAAAAACTACAAAAGTATTGAGTTATTAAATGTATGCAAAGTATTAAATTTTCAAAGAACTTATTGTGTGAAAAAAAAGGATTTTTTGCCAAGAGGAGCCCCATCATTAAAGTATTTTCGGGATTGGTTAATTTACGGATAAACTAATCACACCACTTCGTACCACGAAAATTTAACCACATTTGTGAAAATGTCTCAGCTTCGAAACGGGCAATCATACATCAAATTTACGATATGGACTGAGCTACAGAAGAAAATGTTACAATTACCGCCTATGGGAAATATAATTATCAGTTACGTTTACTGACCCAACTGCCAAACATGTCAAAGTTGAAACCATCAGTATGTTTTTCAGTAAAATAAAATCAAAATAATCCAATATTATATAAAGAAGGACAATATGATAATGGATACAATGGAATATAAGGGAAAGAATCACAACTGATAATTTGATATCAAAATAATATGTGCGATCTATCACATGAAACCACATGTTGACCTCTGCTGTCCCTTCATCAATAATTGGCAAATCAAGAACAATAAACTTGCCCTCAAACCCAATCATCTATACTACTAGAATAACTAGGTCCAATTTGTTAGCCGACATGACGTTAAACCGACGATTCAAAGAATTCAACTTTGTATGTAACTAATATAGGACAATGATGTTTATTAAAAACTATACCATTCCAGGCTATTTTGTTTTATATATAATTGATATTACCAATAATTAACAAGTTCAGGGTCGAATTCGATACCAATTCCAATAGTAAATGTCACATGTTACCTGTTTCCTTTCCTAATCAGTATGTTTCGCCCCTGTCAGTCGCACCACCACACGGTGTATTTGGGATTTGCTATATACACGAGTCATAATCACACATGAACTTCGTCATTGTACAGTTCCCGGTAGTATTAAGAAAGCGGACGGATTCAAGCAGAGAGATTTTGAAACGGCAGGGAAAACTGTGTATCTTGTCATCAGTACGCCTTTATCAAATGATAATGTGATAGGTTGTGCCACTGGAATATGTCGCCTTTTCAAGCTTGCAAATATATGTGATTAGGTCGGGAAAACTATCAGAAATATAATGAAATGGTCAATAAAATTCCCATAACTGCTTCGTCTGTCAGCTTTCTTGGTGTTCCCGGCTGTGTTTTTATCAACCAAAATTTTCTCTTTTATGACACTTTGATATTCTCTAACATTGCACACCACATGAATCCGAAAAAAATATGGGAAACGGTAACATTTTTACCTACGCAATATATGAAAAGGTATACATTTTAAAAATCTAAATTATATGAAAAGGGTAGGGTATCAAAATTCCAGCGGTTACCCCTATCAATTAGGTATTGAGATGGACCTTAAGAAGATGGATAAAACAGTTGAACTATAACATTTATTATTGATGGATTTTGCAGCAAGTGAACATGAACAGACAGAGGAGTCATCTGAGGATCCTCCTTGCGATGTTTGTGGATACGTGAGTATTCATGTTTAAGAAAACAAGATTTTAGATAAAACATCATCTTACAATTTCTTATCATTAGCGTGTTGTACCATTATAACTTTTCAGGGTCGTGTGAATCCTTTTTATGACTTATCGTCTTACATCGTCCATTCGTACTACGCCATATCCAAAGCCATGATTTGGGGTTTCAAACCAATGTGATTTACGCTGATTTATGAAAACGGATGAATACGGGTTGATTAATAATGATACTTCTCACTTTATGAAGATAATAATATGAATTATAATGTTACATCGTTAGTAACGTTCATTTTGATAGGATAACATAACCAATTTTCATGGCATCAATTCACAATTGATGTAATTTAAACTTACGCGCAGGCGCAGACCACGTATGGCTAATTTTAAATGTATGATTTGACGTTGTTTTCTATTAGTTTCATTAGAATGGAGATAACACGTCGCAAGTAAAATTAGTAATGTAGATTTATAAATGCATATATATAAAATGGATGTGAATGGAAACTCATACTCATTTCTGCTGTCGTGAAGTCGAGTTGCCGAGATAATTATGTCGACAATATATTATAAAATGTGTCGACATAAGGCGAAGCTTAAGAGTACTTTTTGCGATAATTATCGATGGCAAAAATACGCATCCATTAGGAGTGCATTCTTTTCTTGCTTTAAAACGATTGCTATAGACATGCATTAAACATTATCAAATTTCTCTCATTACCGAAATATTAAACCGAAACTTTTACAAAATGAAAGAAATAATAGATATTTCATACCAATCATAACATCTTATCTTTTACTTTATTTCTATTTAAATGTTGATATATATTTACTGGGCATCCAAAATGTTCATGATGTTTGAATGTGAATATTTTGGAATATATCATTTTTTTCAAATTCAACTTTCCATTCATTTAGCATTTATCAAAACAATGAACCATGTGAACAGTGCATCACTATTATTCAATATTCAATATTGAAACATTCAAATACGTGTACATAAAGATTCTTACGATAAAAAACCATACACGTAGCTCAAAATCTGACAGATAATGTTGCCGGGACAACATTATGCGCAACTATTGAATCTGATTTTAATAAAATAGATGAGATAATTATTCAATCAGTATATGGTAAACACGTTTCTCTTTGCAAATTTTCAATAGTTAGGTTTAAGGGTTTCGTGATCATTGTTAGTGATTGGCTTGATATTTAATACTTTTGTTTTTATTCAATTATGTTTACGTAGAAATGCATACTATATATACACCAGTGATCGTTATTATCACGAGTAGATATATAGTATGCAGATTTGATTTATGATTATAGAAGGATAATTATGATGGCGACGAGATGGTGTTCTGTGATGAGTGCAATGTTCTAGTTCATCAGGTAAAACATATAATATTTTGTGCAATGCAAATTAAAACTGTCAATTTTTTTTTCATATTTGATTAAACTCCTTTGATAAAGAAAAGTCAATGACAAAATTAAATGTTGTCGACAGGTACTTTTTTTATCTAAACATTCGCGTCATCACCATTGGAGATAGAGATAATATTTTGCTCCCACCACTAAAAAGAAATATTGATGGAACGGTTCAGGTAGCAAATGAAGTTTCAAAAAGTAGAATCACAAAAATACTGAACTGCGAGGAATATTCAAAACGGAAAGTCTCTAATCAAATATCAAAGTCAAAAGCTCAAACACATCAAACGAATAGACAACAACTGTCATATTCCTGACTTGTTAAAGGCATTTTCTTAAGTCGAAAATGGTGGATTAAACCTGGTTTTATAGCTAGCTAAACCTCTCACTTGTAAGTGTGTATAAACATAACCATAACATGAAAAATCACAATCACAATTTAAAAGTCACAAATAAAAAGCGGTTTTTGAATAAAATCTTGTTTTGTAAAAACAAAACAATTGTCAAGACATAATAATACTTAGAATACGAATTACCTTTTCGTCGTTATCCATTAAATGTGTATGTAATTAAAAGAGTCACTTATCGATATCATAACAATGTTTAACTTATGACTTAACAGCAGTTATTGTTCACTCAAACACTACGCAAATTCTTGAATTAATGTACACATTGATATATTTCTATAAATATAAACTTGTCATTGTTCTTTTTTGTACTTCATTTAAATAGAAGTGCTATAACATACCAGTACTACCTGAAAAAGATTGGATTTGTAAACCTTGTTTAGAAGGAGTACAACCAAAGTGTGTTTTGTGTAACCAGTATAAAGGGGCAATGGTGAAAACAAGGTATTCATATACATTTGTTCCTTTCGCTCCATAATACGGTGTTTATATATCAAAACTCGTTCGTAATGCCCGTGTGTGTAGTGATGTTCTAGATTTAAACAAACGTAATCAATACATCACCGACAAATTATGAAGTCATGGATTTCGTTACCAAAAAATAATTAATATATTTATTTAATTCGTTCATTGATACAAAGATTTGAATCGTAAATTTGGCTACACCTGCAGAAAATTTATTAAAAACACATTCTAAATTTTACGGTAATATTGTACTCAAAGCGCGGAAATCGCTATCAATGGGGGAAAGCGGCTGTTCGTAACTTCCGTTACGAACGGCCCAATATGGCAGATGACAGTGCCGATTAGATTTTGTATTTCCTAAATACTTTTGATCAAAAGCATTGTTTGTAGAGAAAATTGTTAATTGTCTGTATAATTTGTAGGACAACACGAACATCGACCGTTCTGGTGATAGAATAACGAAATAATGGTTTTATACGACAGTAAAAAAAAAACAATAAACCGTACGTAACTGTGAGATGTCGTTCGTAACGTGAAGTTTTTATATAGAACGACTGTTCGTAACGTTCAAAGAAAAAAGTATGTTTTTTTATTGGTTCATCCTACATTTTTATTTTTAAGATTTTTTACATTTAATTTATTGAAATAACTTTCACAGTGGTAATTTGGCCTTATTTACTCTTCAAGAAAATAACAAAATAAATGAAACGAAAAATAAAAATATCAGAAAGTGTCATTTATCTTTGTTCTTTAAACAATCCAATGGTCGTAAATTATACAGACTTTTCTTATAAATGTTATTTGCATTTCACATTTCACTGTTTACTGGATATGCAAATAGCAAGGTGTGTTGTTTAAGCCTCCCCAAAATGCCAATTACTATGATAGCAACCATTACAGTTTATAGGGGCATAGAAGGAATTCGAAATAAAAAGGCAGGACGAAAATTTTGATGAAACAAATATTGGTTTAATCTGAAATAAAATTCAGTTTAGCACAAGAACTTGTAACGATCGAATGTAAAAACTTACAAAATATGAAACAAACAAGGTTATGTTTAACATCCTGTGTTTATCAGATGTTTGTCAAATAACAAGAAATAACGTAACATTACTGTCAATTTCTTTTTTTTATCGTTGGTGTTCACGTTTATTTTTCATACGCATACAAATCTATACAAAATTAATAAGTTAAATTTATACATGTAAAGAGTAAAAAAAAAATACCGTAACAGACATTTGAAAGACTTGTCTCTGTGGATATAGAAGGAAGTTATTTGAAACATTTATTTTTCAAATTCAACAGAAAAATATCGCATTTTCGTCTGTCTGAAAAGTATTTTTGTTTTTAGAGACGGAAAAGAATGGGTGCATGTACAGTGTGTATGGTGGCTTCCATGTATAAAGTTTGAAGATGGGGAAAAGCTGGAGAAATTGGAAAGTCTTGATAAGATATCTGTATGTACTTAATGAACATAGTGAAATTTTCAAACTTTACCTTAATCTCTCAAATGTGCTTATTCGGACATTTGGAATAATCAGAAATATAAAATGACCGTCAGATTCACATAAGGCGGATTTAGACTTATTTCATAATACATCGTTTTAATGACTAGATGTATATTGGAAAGTTTACAACCCCCTTTTTTACAAAGACAATTTGAATATATTTGCTTACATTTAATTAATATATTTTTCCCTAGCTATTATCATATGTCAAGATATTTTATTCAGTATTTCATTTTATTCTAATCTGCTAAATTAGAAAAGTTTTGAATGTTTAAAAGTGAAGTCATTTTTTATTGCAAATTCATACACAAACTTTAGTTTCTTTTTCATAGTAGTAGTCAAAACTATCCCATAATAGTTTTAGCATATAGTACTTCATAAAACTTGTTACTAATAAACATTTCAGAACCTACATATACAAAAGGCTGGAGATATCAACGGAAAAAGAATAAAGCAAAAAACTGCAATTTCATCACGGAACTTAATCAATTCCCTTCCATCACATTTTGTGGATTATTAAACTCAACTGATATATGAAATTACTACCTTTTTAGCTATCATATATTATTATTTTCAATTAAGTGCACTAATGTATGTACAAAGTTTGTATAAATATATGTTCATATTTTATTTGTTTGCAAGAATCCGTAAAATACACTTTGTCAGAAACGTCTTATTGTATAAAATCAAAATAATTGGCGGATAGTTTCATTTAAAATCTGCGACATCTACGATTCGTCATTTCCGTTGAAACTTGATCCGTCAAGTCCAAATAAAAGACAAAAGTTGTTAATTTCACGCATTGCATAATATGTCAAAAAACATAGACTGATAGTTTGAGTCTATTTACTAGTAAAGGGATGTCGACTTTTATATCTGCAATGCACAAACGATTGGATGAGGTGTACATTAAGTTTATAGATGAATTTGTTTCATTTGATAGTTGTGAATTTGAATAAATGCTTGCAGTATACCATCGTTCATGCTACAAAATTTACAACAGTGATCAGAATTATTCTCTCTTTAAGTGTAAGGAAGCTTCTAAACTGACAACGGACAATCATCGGATGGTGTCCCCCAGATTCGGGTGGTTTTTTTTCGCGTTCTAGAAGTCAGATATTCGACTGGAATTCTTGTTTAATTTGTTACAACAAAGCACTCAAGGAAGATCGGATTCTCTACAAGTTTGAATCAGATGGGCGTATTGAGAATATATTGGCCGTGGCAGAACGCAATGACGATAATTTGAAAGTTGAAATAGTTTATCATTCATCTTTTGAACTCTAAGCACTATATCGTTCTGGTTGCATTACAAAATATACGCTAAAAATGAAAAAAAAAATAGAATCTTAAGCTCTGGAAGCAGAAATCACAGATCACGATACTGCTTTTTCTAATTTTATATTGGCTATTGATAAAGATTTCATTGCGAACAAAACATTCCTTATGACAATTTACTTGATAAATATTGATCTTTCCTTCCTACTGATTCTAAGTTAAAATATTCTACTTGGAAACTGGATAGCGACTCATCAGTTGTCATACAACCTCAACAGGGTCAAGGTAAATCTAACATAATATTCAGTAGCAACATTACCATTGGAGATACCATATCATCTGCAAGTCAATTAAATACTGACCTCAAAAATCTCTAAGATGCAGACATCAATGTCAACAGTAATAGACACAAATATAGAACAAATATTGCATTCTGCTGTTGTCCTTCATACAACGGTTTAGCAAGTCGGTTATGCGAAAAAGTTTTATATTGAATCGGTTAAGCTAAAACAAAACGACGAGAGATCGTTGACACTGACCGAGGATGCCATGCCCATGATGAATTGTGCTGTTTTCCATCAACCAAAAATTCGAACAGAACTACCCAGAGTTCCAGTGCATTTGGAAAAACATCTCTTTGTGCTACAGAAAGAACACATTCACAGGATATGTTATAGGTGTTATTGAGATCTTTATCTAGAGGTATTCTTTGATTACCTTTTGCATTACCATCTGACACTCCCCAACTTCGGACAATAGCTCTCTCTCAGATGTCAGGCCATAATTATCAGTTGTTTCATAGCCACCCATTATTGACTTGAAGCCAAGTTATATGTCAACAGTATAAACTACCATGAACAAATTGTTGGACATGACCAAGCCTATTGGACAAGATCATGCTATTCAGACATTTGACCAACAACTGTATGGGAAAAACACATTTTGTATGTGCCTATCCCAAGTCAGGAGCCTGTAATTCAGTGGTTGTCGGTTGTTTCTGTTTATCATATTTGCGTTTGTTCATTATTTTGTACGTAAATCAGGCCGTTAGATTTTTCGTTTGAATTGTTTTACATTTGCCATTTCTGGGACTTTACGAGCTGACTATGCTTAACGGTTTTAACTAATTGTTGAAGGTCGTACGGTGACCTATAGAAGTTAATTTCTGTGTAAGTTGGTTTCGCATGGAGAATTGTCTCATTGGCAATCATACCACATCTTCTTATCTTTATATTGAAGACCTTCAGAAGTATGTGGAACGTTGCAAGGGGAAAAAGGGGGGTTACGGGCGTAAAACTGATCGTGTAATAGACATTAACCATGGCAAAATACATAACAGTAGATAATACAATGGAAGCAGCAATAATTGTGAGGGAAAAAAAACTGCAGCAACGAGTAGTCTATAAACATAAAAGTATCCGCATATTCAATTTTAGGTCATATTTGACTGCAGTGTACTTTTGCTTCTGGTTTGATACTTCACCCAATATGCTAGTTTAGAAAATAATTGTACTTTATGACACTTACTTTTTACCGGAAATTAAAATAATTTATAAGATTAATATAACCTAAACATTTTATGGTTCGAAAACTTGATTTTTGAAGTTTTGTTTATAAAACGTCGTTTTGGGAATTTTTTTTTTGTGAAAAAAAACATTTATGACTTAGGCTTATGTATTCAAAACATTCATTACTAAAGCCAACACAGTACCGTTTGTATTTAGACAGATTTGAGAAACAGAAAACAATGCCAAAATTGAAACCCTTCAAAATTTAAACAGATTTGTAAAGATGACCTTAGACCTCAATTTAAAAAAAAATGTGACCATATCAGGTCCTTACGACAGGCATATTGTTATAGTACAAGGTTTCTTCTCTCGAATAATATATTATATAGGTGTGTGTTCGATGGGGAGATTAAATTCAAGAAAAATCTTCCCTCAGTCACCGCACTACTAGCCCTGTCGTGTATAAATATCTATACTATGGATACCTATACTACATCAATCCTTAAAGATCCAAGTGTAGCAAAACACCTGTCTAACCTCCATGACAAATATGGTCTTTTTCCCGCAAATAATCCCCAAATAACGTCGTTTTTGTGTGTAAATCACATTACAGAAACTGCTAGATAAATGAATTAGGTATTCATGTCGAAACTCAACATATACTTAAACGGCACTTAAGAAGAAGGAAAACCAGGTCATGTGTCCTATTGAACTAGAAATAAGGTATGCATTAGATACAGTTTAATCTTCCACATGTCTTCACTTTCATCTAGAAATGGAAAATGATGGTCGGTTAAAAATATAACTTTATGACAAAAGAGATGATTTCCCAATTATAAACTTTCTATTTCTATGTAGCAACATTCCAGCAGCGCCTGCATACGGAATATGTTTCTTCCAGTTGATGCGTTATGCCAGAGCTTGTATTTCCTATCAAGTTTTCCTTTACATAAGGTTGCTATAAAACTGAGAGTTTCAAGCACCTGAGATCTCCCTTTGTGTTGATTTTGCATTAGTTTTAAGTGGTTATTTTTTGTGTGGGGGGAGATTTTTCGATTTCCAAATTTTTGTGTCATTTATTCCAAGAACAGTTGCGTCTTTTCTTTTTATTGAGAACGTGTTGCATTTTATCAATTGCACATTCGGTCACGTTTTAGGGTGAAAGAAAACTTACATGACCGATTATTTACGAATTTAGCGATGTCTTTGGGTTGGGAAAGGATAAATCACTAATTAGCTATTACGTGGTATTCAAAATTATTTGGCATAGTTTATCAATGTGATAAATAGTAGTAGTGTGTGACGCAGGATCTGTAAACTCTTCCGGAGCACATAAGATCACCCTTGTTTTTTGTTAGGGTTCATCTAGAAAGTAAAATCACAAAAATATTGAACTCTGAGGAAAATTCAAAAAGGAAAGTCCAAAATCAAATGGCAAAATCAAAATCTCAAACACATCATACGAATGGATAACAACTGTCATATTCCTGACTTGGTACAGGCATTTTCTTATGTAGAAAATGATGGATTAAACCTGGTTTTATATCTAGCTAAATCTCTCACTTGCGCAATCTTGATTTGTTTTGTATAGTTTCTTATGTTTTGTTTTATACGCTGCTGTTTGTTTTATAGTTGTTTTTCGTTATTTTTGCCATGGCGTTGCCAGTTTACCATCGACTTAATATGTGGTTGAATATTCCTTCGGTATCTTCCGCCTCACTTTATCAATACAATGGTCAATGATTAATGTATGGTACTTGTAAAAATATTAGGAATTAATGAGCACATACAAAAACATATCATTTGACAATCAAAAACCAATTGTTCAGAGAACATTTCCACAGCAATTTTTAAAATTTATTGAAAAGAAGCAAGTTCGTGTTTACTCAAAGTTAAAACTGGCATCTTATCATCAGTTTCTTCATACTGATGCGATAAATAAATGTTTTCTATAAACTCCTGAGTGAAATAAGGGAGATAATTAGCTACTTCCGGTGAAGTCAATGTCACTTCCGGTCTCATATAATAGTTTCTTTCACACTGATCCAAAAATATATAGTTTCTATATACTTTTGCTTGTAAACCAGGAGATAATTGGCCACTTCCGGTGTATCGAAAGTAATTTCTAGTCTTCAGTGATAAGTTAATGTATTAAAA